GTGCGGTGCAGCGCCGCCTCAAGCGTGGCGCAGCGCCGCTGACACTCTGCGTCCGCCGCCTCGCAGGCGGTGCGCTCTGCCTTCATACGGCTCGCTGAGGCCGCTGCCTGGTGTCGCGCCGCACGCTCCCTCTCCACACACCTGCGCCACTCCATTTTGAGCGACTCGTGTTCCATCTGTAGCGCGCGGAAGGCGCCGCCGTTATCGTGGTATTTTTCTCCTCGCTGTGGTTGTGGGCCCAAATGAGGCGACATTTCGCTCTGTGCGTCGTCGGCGACACCACTCATATCTAACCGGGACTGTTGCTGCTCCTGCTGCGGTTGCTTCTGTTTCCGCCGGAGGAGCGCTCGCGCATGAGACAGGTTGCTCTGCAGCTTTTCATTTTTTCCCTGGAGGGCCGCCACCTCGCTGGTGGACTCCTGCAGCTGCTTGCCACAACGGAAGAGATATCTCAACGCGATTGCCAGCATGCGCTCTGCGTCCGCGCACCGCTCCACCATCAAGTCTAGGCGCGTGCACGCTGCCTCTACCAGCAGTTCCTTCTCTGCCTGCTCCTGCTGCACCTGCTGCTCCAGCAGCTGCACACGGCGGTCGGCAGACGCTACCCTCTCCTGCAACTCCTCTACGAGACGCTCCTGTTGCCGCAGCTCCACCTGTGCCCGCTTCGCCAGTAGCTCCACCTCGCGGCACCGCTCCCGGTCGGCTTCCTCACACATCTCGCGCAGCAGCTGCTGCTCGACCTCTGCTTGACGGATTCTTTGCAAGAGCCGTACCATCGATGCATTTGCGCCGTCACAGGCATCAACAAGGGCGCCGCGCCGCAGCTGTTCTGACTCGATCAGCGTGCGGCACGCCAGCGACCAGCCACCCATCGCAGTATCAGCCAACTGCTGCCGTTGCACCCGCAACTCACGGCACTCGGAGTGAAGATTGACACAGGCGTCGATGACGTCCTCCGCAGTGTAGTCGAGCTCGGAGGGCATCTGTAAAAGGTCGCGTGCGCGCCACATAGCGCTTCGAAGAGGAGCACTCTCTGCTGCGTGTGCATCAATGAGCGCCTGCTTTTCCCGCACCTCAGTCTGCAGCGCAGCAACGAGCAGCTTCAGCGTGCTCCGCTCCGCCTCCGCCTCCTCCCCTGCTGCGTTCGCCTCATCCAGCTCCTTCTGCAGGCGCCTATTGTCTCTGTAGAGTTCGAATATGTCCTCGTCTTTCTGCCCAATCACCGCGTAGTAGTTCTTCACCACCTGGCTGATGTCGTCCATCACCTACAGCATCAATTGGGGGTAAGGGTGGAGGGCTTTCGTGCCTGCAAGGCGAAACCAAAAAAGAAACAAACAAACAAACATAAGGGGAAGAAGGATCCCCCGCCACATAGATCACCACAGAAAACAGCCACCCAAACACACAGAAGGAAAACAAAAAGCCAAACTGCAACAAAATAATCAAAAAGAGGGCGGCGGTCCAACATGACACAGAGAAGCGACAATGTGTAGGTGATTCCGTTTCCCTTGCGTGTGTGTGTGTGTGTGTGTGTATGCCTGCGTGGACGCAGCCACTTCAATACACGTAGGCACGTCGCAACACGTGATTCTCCGTAAGACCACAAATACACACAGCAGACTTTTCGTTCACCATCACATGCCGCATCATCAGTGATGTTACATGTGGCAGATCCGCAGCCGTCAGCGACGATGGCGCCGAAGAAGACAAGTGCCCCACAGTGTGCACACTGCCGTCAACTGCAAGACCCACAACACTCCCGTCGGAAAGCAACAGAAACAGAAAAATTGTCTCATCCTTCTTTTGCAAAGGGGGCGTATGCACAGGGCACAATGCCATTATGTGCGCTCCAGCCAACGACTCCGTTGTGTAAACAAGCTCACGTGTCCATGATGGAGCGTGTGAAAGCATTTCCACCGTTGTAGCGGTCCACAGCAGAACCGCGTCGCCACCACGCACTGGTGTGACACCGAGATACTCTTGCTCACCAGCGACGTCCGCGAGGTGCGCGTTGACCTGCAGACTGGAGTGCAGCAGAACCTCATTGTCGTCGAGGGAGTATACACTGAAGCAGCACCCACGCTGTGCCACCACCACCAGGCTTGTTACCTCCTCGTCACCGGGAAGCCACACACACGCGGCAGCGGCGTTTTCGACAAGCACCGTCGAGTCCGCCGATGATGATGACGTGCAGGTGACTCGGCCAGATGACAAGCGACGCACAATACACTCCAGCGGCTCGACGAACAGCTGCTCCACCACGCGCGCGTCGTCGCAGACGCCGTGATCGTGAAGAGGCGGGGGAAAGTAGCAGAAACAGGTTTCAGCACGAAGAGGGCCGCTGCTTTGCCAGCGAAGGACAACGCAACCCCCGCGTGGGTCACGCAGCAAGAACCACGGTGGTGCACCACCGCAAGGCTCCAGCACCCACTCAGCCAACGGCGAGGAGGAGCTGCCTCCGCTCGTCACCTCACGCATTGTCTGCTCAAGCCCCAGAATCTGCACGTTGGCAATGGAGTCCGGCGCGGTGTGGCGGCAATAAACAAGATGCGGTGAATGAACACTCGCCGATGTGTCACTCGTGGGGGCAATACCAAGCACACCATCGTCATCAAGGCGAAAGGAGCTCATTGCGACACACGACTCGTCGTCGGCCTGTTTCTCTGTGGATACACGCGAGTCCTCGCCGATCATGCTGTACAAACGCAACGCGGTATCCCCCTGCGCTGGTATTCCCGAGTCAGATGTATCCTTCTGCGCGTCCTTTACCATCACTTCCTTCTTTTCACTCCCGCCATTCTGCACGGTTGGGGCGACTTCTTCCGCGTGGATTTTCACCCGGCCTTCCACAGCTTGCGAAGTGGACGCAACGTGAAACGTTTCCCTAAAAGTTTGTTGAGGCATAGATGCTAGCGTTACTTGTGCCTTCAGTAGCAGCAGGTTCACATCCACCTCAGTGCTGCGGACGCTCTCTATTGGGATGCAGCAAGAAAAACGCCATCTCCCTTCCCCGACAAGTAGCTCCTCGCACGCCTTTCCTCTTACCTCAGCTTTACCCAGACAATGGGTCTGCTTCCCGTCACAACACTGCTCATGGCACTCGAGCACGATCCGAGTGACAATTTCATCAGTGCCAACTGCCACGCGCACTCCCATCTCTCCAGCATCTGATCGCTGCAGTGCATCTTGACTGTGGGACATGCTGTCCTTTTTGTCGCTAGTGGTGGGAGCTTCTATATGTGTTACCGCCTCGAGGGTGATGGACGGTGATGCTACAGCCACAACGGCCACCTCCAAGGGCGGTATTATGCTATGCTGTGTGCGGGGGTGGGTGATGAGCAGCGTGTGAACAGAGTTGGCCTCGGCGTGGTCAAGCGCGACGTCCGGAAATGCCACCATTTGTCCATCATTCCCACCCGTCTCACGCTGCGCATATGCAAGCGTGCTGCCGTGTTCAGAAAGTGCCGCATTTCCAGCAACGTAGGTGAGAACAAATGGTACCCTCCTAATTTCTTCAAAGTAGGAATCCTGCTGTTTCTGCGTTTGAAGCCACTTTTCATCACTGTCGGCATCATATTTTTCATTACCGGAACTGTTAACGATAAGACGGCATTGAAGTTCAATACCACAGTTGAGTGGAACAACAAGAGCCTCGACGACAGCACTGCCGCTCCCCACTACACGTTCACCCTCACTCTCACCCTTATCCACGTCTAGTCGCAGCAGAGGCGAACATACCTCCAGCCGTGCAATTGTGCCCTTTCCATTGGCGGCTCTTCGCGACTCGCGAATCAGGCGTTGGTGCAACACACGCGACGTGAGATTGGCCTCGACAAGGAAGAGTTGCTTCTTCCACCACATCTGACGCAGCAGCTGCTCCTTCGCCAGGCAGGCGGCGAGAACCTCTGCTGCGGCGGTGCGTTCCAAGAAGAGCAGCCGCTGCGCCTCAAGCGCCAGGACCGCCTTCTTTTGTTCGTGCAATGTCTGCAAGAGGTCGACCTGCAGCACCTGCAGCGCATCGGTGGCTGCAGCGGCATCGCCTGATCGGTGAGCGTCCTGCATGCGACCAGAGAAACTGTGGCAGGTAGCAGATCGTTCCACGGCGGTCGGACACTAAACAACACGAGGAACGATAACAACCGCAACGTAAGAAAAATGCAAAGAAACATGGGGATAAGCCGAAAGCATATTAAATGTATGGCGGAACAAACAAAATACGGAAAAAAAAACAAACAAACATGTCCAAACGAAAATAAACCCACACGAAGCAAACCAGCCTTTCACCTGTCTTTTTTTTTTCAAAGTGTGAGGGGTGCACTGAGCTCACCATCAAAAGACAACAAGAGATAACAGATGCCCAGAAAAAAAAGACAGGGTTCCCACCGCCACAAAGGAACTTTGGTGGCTCCAATATGAAGCTGTTGCTGAGCTAAGGAGCAATAGAGAGTGCCTGAGAAAGAACACACCATAATGCCAAGGCTATTCGTCATCCCCGTCACTGTCGTTCCCCAAGTGACGGACAGCCTCAATATCCTCCAGTCGCGCCTGATCTTCTTCTGTCAGCTCATGATCTCCCCGTGGTGGCTGGTGGTTGGCGCCTTTCAGCCCATGACGATGGAGCTGCTGCTGTTGTTGTTCGTGATTGAGCTGATGATTGGAGTTCCCATTCTGGCCTTGACGCTGAGCCCCCGAGACCCTCCGCATCGGCAGCAGTTGCCTCTTCGACGATGGCCCACTGTGCGCAGGCTGACCGCTTGCGAGATGGGCCTCGAATTGATCCAGCGCCTCCGAAGATGGCCCAAAATCCTTCGTGTCGTCCTGAAGGTAGGTACCCTGCAGCATTGGGTCTGTGTCTGCAGCCACTACCTTGGGAGGCATCTATTCACTTACCCCCACCTGCAATCGCTGGCTTCTATACACCCTCTCGCGTGTGCAACTATATTAGGGAGTAATGACACATCAAATATAGACGAAGAGAGAGTGTGACACCGGCACAACAGAAAAAGAAGATACGACACACCATCCCAACCAGCGAAACCACAACAAGTTCACCTGGGCACACTGCCCCATTGGAAGTTGTCAAACATACAAAAAAAAAGAGCACTCATTCATGTCCTAACACACAGAAACCCACACAAATGCGTGTGCCTCACATCACGAAGAGTTGTAGTCCTACCTAACAGAAGTTACAGCGATCGAGTTGTTTTGCGTCCCCAATACCACCCCACAAAAAAAAAAATATATATATTTTCTCCCTCGTACATCAATTTTTATTTATTTCCCTCCTCCAACACTAAGAGTGTCAGCTGTTCTCAGAAACCGGCCAGAGCTGCGGTGATCCATCCGGTCATCAGCGTAATGCCACCAATGGGCGTCAGCGGACCCACTGTCTTTGATGGGGCACCGAGGCAGAGGGCGTAGATAGAGCCGGCGAACAGCGCGGTCCCGGCGAGGAGCAGGTAGAAGGCATGGGAGAGAAACTTCGCAGCACGACCGTCAGGATCCAGTGATTTCAGAGCAGCGAAGACCGCCAGCAAGGCAACAGCGTGAATGAGGTTGAACAGAACTGCGAGATCCCACGCGGCTCGNCCAGCCGCAACGGCAATGAATCCAACAGCACCAACAATGATCAGTGAAGTGTTTCTCACCTTGGGCATATCTTCCTTCTTAAACAATATACTGTTGTTTTTGCTTCCTCTTGGAGTGCTTACCTTCACATGCAAGAGATGAGTGGGGTGAAATAGAGCACGCAGTTGCCCAGGAAGATGCACTTCTGCGGTAACAGAAGGAACGCGTTGGGGGGCCAAAGAATCTTTCTACGACTGGCACTTTTGACTCACAGTTTACTTTGAATCATGTTACTGTACAGCTCGATAAATTCGCCGAATGTCACTTTGGTGTCGTTATCTGACGGAGAACTCTGTAGTGAGGACATCAGGTGTCGGTAGCGTTCGGAGGAGGGGTCTCTAGACTCATGCACAGTAAGTAGGAGCAGCTCGTGCAAGGCTTGTGCCACTACTGAGAGGGGAAGTGTTTGTGTAAAAGGGCTCTCTAGCAACCATTCATTAGGAATGCAAGACCCACCATTATCCTCGTTCGACTCCACGTTAAACGGAACCTGCAGCTTCTCCGTGACAAGGCCGTTCCACCATATACCCAAATCGAGAAGGGTGCTTTCGTCGAGGTCGGGCCCCATGCTACGCACATGTGACTGTGCCGGTGGTGTCCTATTTAGCACCACTAGCGGGGGCGCCTTGTATCCTGCACTTCGCCAACGGCCAAATTTCGGGCTGATGGACTGACGTGCATGGCGCTCCGCATACCCAGCACAACTGCGCCTCATTATGTTGTTCCTGCCGTCGCCAGGAAATACGGTACTTTGGGATATTGGTCTCTTTACAGAGTGCCGGTGTTTGAGGCGAAGTTCATTGATATCCTCGTACTGATGCAGCGTGCGGTGCGTCGGTGATGCGTACTCGATAGCCGCCAAAGATGCCCCACGCAGCGGCACGCAGAAGGCTTCGGGTTGGAGTTCCAATGCACGGGTGGAACACGGGGAGTTGATGATGGGGTGAAATAGACATTCCTTCGTATGCTCCTCCTCACGTAGGGCGTGAACATCTTCACTCAGGCGGAGAAGGTGCTCCGTGCGTCGTGCTTCCCACAATCGTTGTCGCTCACGAAAGTCTTTCAATTGCTTTTTGGAATGCGCAACAGCAGACTTCGTTTTACTCTCTTCCTCTCGCGACGGTTGCTGCCTTTTGGGCAACGAGAGCTCTGCGTCGTTCTTCTGCTTCTCCTGCGGTTGCTGCTTCTGTTTTTGCTGGCGAAACGATGAGGACACAAACACAATAGAACCAGGGGGCCTGCCGGGTGGGGAGAGAATACCTTGATTAATCCTCGGACTGAATGTTGGCTCCTCATCCTCGACACATTTACGTTTCACAAAGGTGTAATCATGAAGCCGCCTGGCTTGGTCCCCGATCAATTGCGGTGATAGCCGCAATCCACCGGATTCACGCCGTGCGTACTTCTCGCGCAGTGCCGCACGCTCCCGACGCACACGAACGTCGTCCTGCAGACGTTCCAGAAACGGGGGATAATCTATCGTGAGGCGGTGAGATGCCTTTGTGGGGCAGCGACACACCGATGCGTCCCGGCGACACGACACACTGTGTGACTTGCCGTCGCTACTGTTGTCCTTCACGCCAGCTGCTGCGTTGTTCGGGCTGGCCGCGTGGCCCTCCGTGTCCCTCGCCCGCAGAATCCGCCTCGTCCCCGGGGACATCTGCCATGACGCATGGCACGCCTTCTCTTCTTCCTGCGCCTCCACCACCTGCCGCTCCCTCTTCTTCTCTATCTGCTTTGCACACTGCTGCTGCCAGCGCAGCCCAGCGCTGTGCAGCATCTGCGGCGACCGTCGCGCTGCCCCAACACTCGGCTCGCGGATGGTGGGATGAAACGAGAGTCCCCGCGCCGGGTCGAAGCGCACCCTGGCGGCGGTGACTCGCTCCTGCTGCTGCGCCCTCCACTCGAAGAAGCGGCGCGCGAGGGCCACATTCTTCTCCTTCGCCGCTACCCGTCGGCACCGCCGCCGCTCCCACTGTTCGAGCCACTGCAAGGCTGGCCGCTTCCGACACCGCAGCCGCCACTCACCATTCCCTCGTGGTGATGATGATGATGGTGGTGCTGCTGCTGCAGCAGCGAGGAGAGCGAGGCCGTGCTTCTCCGTGCCACTGAGAACATCTTGGCTCACATGCGGCGGCGCTCTGTCCACTAACTCCCCTCGCATATCGGTAATGTCTCTCTTCAACAAGCGCTCAAGCAGCGCATGTGCCACAGCCTCTTCTGCCGAAGTTGAGGGCATCATCTTCTCATACAAGTCCGAGGCACTAGACGTGTTAGCACAGCTTTGTACAAGGGAAGATGGCACACAGTTAACGCAAGCAGCATAAAACGCCATAAGATGAACAGACATACATAGCGACAAAAGAGAACTACGCGAACAAGTGTAACAAACACTCCATCATCACAAATTACAATCGCGGTGAACCGGGATAGAGGAAAGAACAAAAAGTCACATGACCCAGGCCACATGTCTCCTCCGCATGTGCACGCCTATAAGAAAACACGAATAAAGAAGTATCGCCTGGCTTGCGCATCGAGAGCAAAAGGATACCTGCATCCACACCCAGTACTACGTCTCCACAGACCCCTGTAGGCAGCAAGATGCATCAAAAGAAAATACACCAGGATACGCATTTTCATACGTGATGTTCAGACGTGCCATGCAACAAAAGCCTCGGGTGCATCTCCCTAGTACCGTATCTACGCAACAGACAATGGCAAGAGAAGCATCAGGCTGCGAGAGAGCACGTACCCAATCCGAGAATAGGAGAGGCGCAGCCGGAATGTAGGAAAAGAAAAAAACCATTGAGACAAAGCACCACCTTACACCTTGTTAAATAAAACGAATTCAACTGTTGCTGCCCCAACAAGTCCTCAGCGTGAGAGGGAGAAATGCACTGTATTCCGTGCTTGACCACCAGTCTCTGCAGCCACGAAGGGGTGCCCCGCTAACAGCTGACGCACAACACCGTAGCGTGCGAAGAAACTCGCTGGGAAATCACACCCCTCTCACGTGAGGAATGCAAGAAAGTGACACTGTGGGATGTGTATACGAATTGCAACTGAGCGAACGCATACCAGTGTCTCAGATGAGAAGCAAGGAAACAAAAAAAAAGGATATAGGGGGAAGACAAGAATCCCAATCGCTTAAAAGCATTTGTGTATATTGATAAATATTTAGTGCCGGATCCCACTCAAAGAGCCAACATTACGAAACTCAACACAGAAAGAAACAAAAGATCTGCAAGAAAGGCCGTCGTTGCAGTGCCATCGCTGACATCTGTGCACACTTCCGACCGCTTGGGGCACACAATGCGCCCACTTATGAATGTTTTCTTCGGGCTAAGGTAGCTGCCCGAAGGACACGGATACCACGTATCATCATTCACAAACCGAACGCTCACAGTCCCATTACTGCACGAGATGTCCACACAGATATCAGCAAGAGACATATACGAAAGCTTGAGCGACTCACCCTTCACGCACCGTGAGTTCGGGCCAATGCGGCTCCCATGCGTTGCCAACGGCTGGCCGTCGGTACACCCGGCGTTGGAGAACGGGTTAACGTGTGGACAAAAGTCCATCAAATGAGGATCACCACCCTCTGTAGGGTCCACGAAGTACTGGAACTGTTTTGGCAAGGCTTGAGTGTACTTTGCCCGTTGGCAGGATCCAAGAGACATACGATCAAACGTGCATACTGGCTGGTGTTTTTGTGGGGCTTCGCTACAGAACATATCTGGATAAGTACTGACACCATTCACCAAACATTTCTCTTCCAACAGCTTGCAGCCCGAGTTGTGGCCCCATCCCATATGTTCCTCCATTCCCCAACGAGCCTTGTAAAACATCATGTCCTCGAACGCTGCCATTGTTAGCGCAGTGTAATAACTCGCACCCGAAATACCAGACATCAGCTCATCCCTCGCGTTGCGCCGCTCCCAGTGGGAACCACTTGTGCCGTAATTTCCCTCGTCCTCCAGCTCCATACCTTTTATATTGTTGCAGTTGTAGTGCCTCTGCGCCATCTCCTTCGTTTTTGGTGACGACACCACCAGCACGGAGTTTTTTCCGCGCACACCTCTTACAGTGGATATCATCTTCAGTTCATTCATCTGATCATACCCAAAACCAAGAGCATGCGCAATCTCGTGGGCAGCTATACGAACACTCTTATCTGTCGCCACAGCATTCCGGGGATCAATATTCAAAACACCAACGAATGGTCGCCTGCTTTTCAATACTGCACACGTGCTCGCCCAGGCGGCGGCGCCGCCCATCGGCCCTGCGGCAGCGTACATAATCATGTCGGCACCAGACACACCACTGGTGTGGTGATACGGGGGAACTGTGAAGTAGGAGCACAGTATTCCTCCCAACAAGGGTACAATAACGTTATTCATCACCGGCTCCACAGAGAGACGCTCAGTGTGGAGTTTTACCGCCCCAGCAATAATGTGTTCCACAAGTATAGTCTTTTTCTCATTCGTCAGTATGTTTTCGGATTTACAAACCACCGTACCACCCATGAAGTCCGGACGCACATCTCCTACTCTTGTGCAGTACTTGGCCGGATTGTTCATGTCCTCCGT